CATTTTTGATGTCATTAAATTCTTTTTATTTGCTTTTCATATTTATCGACATTAACTGCACCAATTTACTTTATTATCGCAAAACTAATTTAAATCATTAACGTCGAAATGTTTTTATTTAAAAATATTTTAGAACGTTTCGTTTTTTAAAATGTAAAAACATTTGTTTATTTTCTCGACGTTTGACATGTTTTGTCTATACTAAACGAAAAAAAAACATAAAAAAAATTATAAAATTTGCTAATATTTGATTTTTTTTTTCTCAAATATGTAATTTAAAGTTTTTCAAATAATTAATTTTTCTTTTTAAAAAGTCAGCGAGTAATAAACTGGAAATTTCAATATTGTACAATTAAAATCTGTGCAATAGCTAATAAATTTACTAGCGATTTTATATAATATTTTTTTATTTATTTATTTTTATATATTTTCATAAACAGTTGATAAGCACAATCACTCGTATTACTAAAAAACTTTAACGAATGTTTTGAATAGATTTTTAATGTTTACAAGGAATTTTTTGTGATAAATTTTTGGTAAAATAAAATAAAATGTTAGAATAAAAATCTTATAGGTATAAAAGAAATATTTCAGCGAAAAAATTATTCTTAAAAGTTATTCGAAAAACTATTGACGTTCTATTTTTCAGCAGCTGTTTTTGAGCACGCTTTGTTGAGTTTCGGTAACTTTTAACAAAAAAACGATTGATATTATTTGAGTAATTTTTTTCGAGTTACTTTTTACAAAAATTTTAATAGCTGTACTTTTTTATTGAATCAAGTAAAATTTTAAAATGTTTTCTCGAAATTACTTAAATACTTCTTAAATACTTTAAATACGTCTCACAGTTAATAAATATTTTTAAATCTATGGAATAATTTTAAAACCTAACAAACCCCCATAAAATAATTATTTAAGTTAAAAATCTAAAACTAAAAGAAAGTATTTTTGTTCAATTTTATCGACAACTTTGCTATTGCTGAATAATTTTATTAAAATGTTAACTTAAAAAGATTTAAAAAAAAGATTTAAAAAGATTTTTAAAAAATTAAAAAAAAAGCTTAAAAAACTTTTTTTATTACATGAATTTTTTCTACTTTTAAATAATGAGCATATTTAATTTTTTTGTAATTCAAACTTTTATATCAACTGCGTGCGGTTTTTAAAATACTTTATTAAATGTTAAAATAATCATAAATTACTTCATTAAAATTCCGCTCAAAAATATCTTTAAATATACTTAAACAAAAATTTTTTTGCTCGACGCAAATAGCCCTAGCTACACGCAAAATCGCTCTTGGACGACGTAAAATTCACATCGCCTGACACTTTATCGCCTGATATATATATATATAGATATATATATAATTATATATATATATATATACATACATACAAGGGGCGAATTAAATGATTGCGAATTGAAAATTCCGTAAAAGTTTCTGGTCTTCAAATTTTTTTTTTTTTTTTTTTTTTTTTTTGTGCGCGTTTTTTTTCGGACCATTCTTTAAAGACCAGAATTTTTCAATTTAAAGACCAGAATTTTTCACAGAATTTTCAATTCAGGATCATTTAATTCGCCCCTTGATGTATATATATATATATATATATATACATATATATATATATATATATATATATATATATATATATATATATATATATATATATATATATATATATATATATATATATATATCACTACTACTGCACATAAATCGTTTATAGAATTTATATGATTATATATATATATACAAGTTATAAAGCATTTAAATTAATTTTTTTTAATGTCATAAAAACTAAACATCTAATAAAAGTTATAGAATGTTATAATATAATTACCTCATGAAAACAGCCAAAACTAGTTTTTTATGTTTGTTTGCGCAAATAGGATGGTAGAGATAGTGAAACATGCTCACCTAAAAATGTATACTTAGAAAACATTCACTGGAAAAAAGGAGGCTTGCTGGGTACAGGAGCTTTTTCTACTTGTTATGAAGCCATGGATTTTAAAAGTGGGCGTTTGATGGCAGTAAAACAGGTATACTTTTTTAAAAACTTTTTTGCATAGAAAATGTTGTTTTTTTTTTTACATTTGAAGGGACTTTATAAAAATATTATTTTTATGCATTATTAGAGAATGCTAGCGGAAAATGGACGAACAAGGCAAGCGGTTGCATGCCTTGTTCGTCAATGTTTAAAGTAATTTTTTTTTGACAAACTAACCACGGCAGTTCACATCTTTTTAACTTATAAAGCATTTCAATATTTTGCGGCAAAAAGCTAAACTTATCTACTTAGAAAAAATAAAGCAATCTTGAAAAAAAAAGAGACAAAATTGTTTAATAATATAAACTAGAAAATTTTATTTAAAAAAGTAAATTAAAAAAAAAAATTTTCATAAAATTTTTAATCAACTTTAGTATTTTTTTTTTTTTTTTTTGAGTCGTTGTTGAAAAAAACATTATCTTTTATAATGATTTCACAACAACTAAAAGTTTTGATGCGCACTTTATTCATGATTTTTATGAGTCCATTTAATTAAGAAACTAATTTGCTATGTATCCTAGTACTATAAGATGTTTTGTTAATTTTTTTTTCCTTACGTTTATTTGTTTATTACATTTATTTGTTTTTACGTCTTTTTGCTTTTAAAAATGTTTTTGCTATATTTGATGCTTTTTCTCAATACTTATATAATAGTAAAAAAGGAAAATAAGTTGTTTATTTGTAAAAAATATTGATTAATAAATTTTGTTAATGATGGAATAAGTTAAATAAAAAAATAATATAGTTTCTTTAATAAATGTATTTACCACATTTGATGCATGTCTGAAATTGTATCTTTTATATTGCCCAATTTCCAATGTTAATACAAATTACTAGAGATAATGGACTTAAATTACTAGAAAAAATGTATTTAAAAACTTGAAAAAAGTTTTAAACAGGCTTCTAAAAATTTAGCTAAGGAAGTTTATTAAATTAAGAATGCACTAGCCCATAAAATTTTGCAGCATCATTTCATTTTTTTACATAAAATACTTGTTTAAAAAAATTTTTTTTACCAAACAAATAGCCATTAGTTTTTTCGCTTTCCTGTGCATTGATAAAAAGCAAAGAAATTTGAAAAAACAAATTTAAAATTTTTTTGTGTTTCTAGCGCAATTTATATAGTATTTCTTTTATATACTAACTGAAAAAAGTTGCAAAAAAATTGTATATCAAAAAATATTTTTATTTTTGTTATATTCTTACCTACTTTTTTCCTCAGTTTTTATCAATTTAAGTAGTGGAAAATAACAAACGCCAAAAAAATAAGAAAACAAAAAGAGTAAAATATTTAGGTATATTATTTTTTTTAATTATTATTATATAATTTTTAGCTTATTTTATTTAGATTTCATATAAAATAAACTAAAAAATATATAATAATAAAAAAAAACATAGTCTTCGGTTCTTATAAGAATTACTAATGACTTCTTCGAGTTTTAATTGCTTTGTTTTGCCATGAATTCTTAAAACACTTACTATATAAAAATGTTGTCAAGTTGTCTAAAAAAATTACTTTAAGCGTGGACGTACATGGTGTGTGACCGCACATGTTTTCCAGGAAGGCTTGATATATATAGAGACCTTGGCAAAAGTAAATGAGTGCGCGAGCAGTGAATCGCTTGTCTAAAATGGATGTGGTGGGCGATGCAGTAGTTAAGCATTTTCACATGCTTTTTCGATATTTAGATGAAAAGCCTCATGGACAAAATAAACTTGATTACGTTTTATTAATAGTTCCTTGAGTTTTACACAGTAAATATTCTGTATCATATCATATATACATCAGTAAAACAGTCCTCAGCAATTGTTGTTTTTTTTTTTACATTAATTTATTTAAGCATCATAATTTTCTAGATTCTAATTTTCTAATTGTTAAAAAAAAGATTGCATTTGACCAAATTTTTTAAGTTCTTTTTTAATAGAGTTTAAAAAATTTATTATAAAATATTTTATTACTTTTTTATTGAAAAGATTTATTTTTTTATAAATATTATTTTTTGTCACGTTTCTTCCTATTTACAAAGTTCCTTCAATACTCTTTTTCTTTGTAAAACATTTTTTTCAATTTGATTAGTTTTAAAATTGCACTTGAAAGAGCTCCAAGCAAAAAAAGCATGTAATTGTAAGTTAAGACTTTGGTAACTAAAATTTGAATGAATAAGTTAGTTACTTTAGAAATTGTTTTTGTGTTACATAATTTACATAGCTATTTGTTTATTAAAAAAGACATTTGTAATCGAATAAAAACAAAAAAAAAAAAGTTAAGTTACATGAATGTCAGCTTGACAAACTGTTGGATATATAAGGAGGTTAAAAATTGTTCTGAACGAATTCACATTTGTTCTGAACGAGTTCACGTTTTATGGATTTTTTCTAAACATATTAAAGTGTTGCAACTGGATTTTTTCTAAACATATCAACTGTTGCAAAGAGATCTGGTTGGTTGTGGGTGAAAAGTCAGGCTATACAATATATCAAATAGACAAGGTAGAAGCAGAAAAGAAAAATAACAGATATTGGATCTTAAGAAAAAATGAAAAATTTGATTAAAAAACCTCATATTAGTAGACAAGTTCAAATAGAAAATGTTGAAGATAAAGTTTAAAAATCAGTGAGACATAACTTTAATCAAGGAAAAATCACCTGAAAATATTAAAGATAAAAATAAATTATCAGTAGCAAAAATATTATTAGGATTTTAATTATTAGCCCCATTGTTTTTTGTTTTTGTTTTTACTGATGTCATTGCAGTATTGGTAGAAAGATTGCTTTGTAAATGAAAGCATTTAAATTGTTTCTCAGTGCAGCTGCTTTGTTTCTTAAAAATTTTGATTCAGAAATACAAAGAGAGATGTGTAGCAATAATTAAAAATTAAAAAAGTAGCAATTAAAAATAAATTAATTATAACAAACTGTAATTATAGCAAATTAAAAATAAATATAATAATAACAAAAATATTGTAAGGACATATTAACAAATAGAGATTTATCTGTCTGATAACTTATTGTTAGGGTTTGCACTACCATTCTCCATTTCATTTAACTATCATTTACTTAAATTTACGCTTTTAAACAAATTTAAACAAATTCTTGTTTTTTTAATTAAGAATAATATTTTACTATTACCATCTTGTTGATTACTTAATATTTGTTTATAAATAAATAATTATTTAGAATATTAAAATATTTACTTGTATTCACAATAATTGTTTGAAAAAAATACATATGTATTGATGTATTTGTTGATCACTAAAACTTTAAGCTTCACTTCTTATTGTTATTTCTATGAGATTTTTTGTAGATATCATTTTGTCGTAATTGTGAAGAAGAACAAAACAAAGTGCATGAAGTTGTACTCGAAGAAATTGCATTGTTGACTAAACTTAAACATCCTAATATTGTATCTTGCATTGGTGCAACTCAGCATGAAGGTCATTACAATTTGTTTATGGAATTAATGCCAGGTAATGAAATAATACGATATTAACAATAAAATAACTTTTTTTAAGTTTTTTAAAATGGTATTTATTTGGAGTTTTCATGAAACTTTTTCCTATAATCATGATAAATAGCTCATAGGACATGTTATGATATTATTGTTGATATATTTTTTATATAATGACTTATTAATTTTAATTTGCTATCCATGGTTCTACACTTATTTGGTTTGGATAGGTTTTTATTATGTCATTTTCTTATTTAAGTATGACATGGAAGAATTGAACTACTTTTTTTACAAGCAGTTATCCTACTTGGAATTAGCCTGTTTTGCAACATTAGGGATCAATTGATTAAGGCTGAGTATTTTGTAGTGACCACTAGAAAGATTATTATTCAAGGTTTTCAAGCTCCTTGTTTTATCTAAAATTGAATTAAGAGTTTTCAATCAGTTTTGTATCATTTTGCTAAAGAATCATGTCCTTAATTAATATTATTTTTTATTTTTTTATTTTAATTGTTTTATTATCATTATTATATACATATATATATATATATATATATATATATATATATATATATATATATATATATATATATATATATATATATATGTTTAACATTTTAGGGGGATCAATTAGTCGTTTGTTATTACGGTTTGGTCCTTTTCGCGAGTCTGTAATTTTAAGTTATACAAGACAAATTTTACAAGCACTGGCATATCTCCATCAACACCATACTCTGCATCGTGATCTTAAAGGTGCTAACATACTTGTAGATAGCACAGGACAGATAGTTAAACTAAGTGATTTTGGGACTGCAGCAAGATTACTTTCAAAATGCACTGGTACAAAAGAGTTTTCTGGTCAGTTACTTGGTACTATACCTTTTATGGCACCAGAGGTAATTTTTTATAATTTTCAATTAAAGAACCAAAACCAGCTTTTTTATTAAAGTTATTTAATAATAATTTTTAATTGCAAATTGAAAACTAAGGCATTAAAAAAAAAAAGTTGAAATAGCGAGTAATGTAAAAATAAGTTTAGAGTGGGGCAACATAAGCAGCTGGGCATAGTTATCATGTCCCTGATTTTTTTTAATGTTTTTTTTTTCAATCAATTGCTAATGTTTACAATTCCTTTATTTTTTTATTATTTTATAATATTTTAGACTATTTCTATTTTTTTTTGACTGATATACTAATATTTCCATATGCGTTTATGAATCACCAAGTTTTTTACTTAGATTAAAAAATGTTATTTTTTAATATATAGTACAATCAAAGTTCAATTGGCAATGTTTGATGTTTTAACTTACCATTACTCAGTATGAATAAATTTTCGTGTTTTATTTCTAATTTGATAGGTGTGACGAGGTGAGGTGCGATGAAGTTAGAGCACCGTTTTTATGCTGCTGATTCTTCATCGCACCATGCATTAGGCACCATAATTATGGTGCCTAATGCAGTCTTTCTCAGGAAGACGTGCGATCGCATGTCTTTATATGACCAGGCAAATTACATTTTGCTTTGACGATATGACCGCAGCTATTTCAAAAAACATTATAAAAACACGCTGAATCAAAAATATTCTGAATTATACCTTAAGCAAAATAAATTATATCAAAACAAATGTTTTTTATTTTAGCAAAATGCTTTTAAATAAAGTAACAATTTATTGATGTGTTTTTTTTTAAGTATAATTGACAGTTGTATATATTTTTTTAATTTATAATATATAAATTGTTAAAGTGTGCATTTTTTATAATGAAAATTATTAAAAAATAAAAAATTGTTTTGTTTTTATAAACGATGACATTATACAACAGCGAAAGTCTTTTTAACGAATTTTAATATAAGAATAATTAAAGTTAATGCTTTTGAAAATATAAACAAAATTTTGTGAAAAAAAAAGACAAGGATTTTAGAAAGCCGTTACAATTAAATAAGTTTGATCTTAAATGCTTTTATATTATTGAAACGCTTTTTAATGAAGTAACAAAACACTTCTAAATGAACTTTTATAATAAGTATTAAAAATTGTTTTTTTTTTTAATTTTAATTATGTATTTTTTATGGTAAATGTTTATCTTCAGGAATTATCTTTTTCCGGATATTTCCGGAATTCCGGATATTTTTTTAACTTTTTGTATTTTCCGGATAATTAGTTTCTGAAAATACAATTTATAAAATTTTTTCTGTTTATTACTATCAAATGAAACAGTAACAAGAATATATAAACAGTAAATTTGTTGTCCATAAATTACGGAACGTTATATTTAGTTAACAAACAAAGCCAAAAAGATTAAAAGATTTCCCTCGCAGAGTAAGCCAAAAATTAATAAGCATTTTAATTAAAGTTTAATAAAAATCCCAGCGCAAAAGAGCGAATGATCTCCTACTTTTAAAATAAAGTTAGCGATGCGTCTTCTTTTTAAAAAAAATTGTAAATTTACATTTTACAAATAGCTCTTTTAGCTATTAGCAAAGAGATTTATTTTTTTATTGTTTTAAAACTTTTTTTAAGTAAATCACTTCGCTTATGGACTGAAACTTCTCTCAGTTTATTTGTCGGTAGTTCAAAATTTACTGCATCATTATTTCGTTTTCTGTCCAGTCGTACCATTGCAAATCTCTATTTGTACACTTCTTGAAAATATCATTTTTTCACATAATTTCTTATTAAGGTGGTACTTGGGTGAAAAATCCAAATTCTTTAATTCTTACTATTTAAATTTGATATTTTGGTACAACAATTATAAACAGATAACTATGTCTTTTTTTAAAAAAAAAAAGAAAAAAAATTACAGAAAACCCTTTTTTGGGTCCAAAGGTCTCAAAATGGTCACTTTGCGGTGCGTCAAATTCAGAAAAAACCACCTGTAGAATGATAACAAAATTTTTACAGTTTGTTTATAGTACAATTTTACAGGTATGGGAGCAGAATTAGCCTGATTACATAACTAGATCTAAGATAATTAAAATTCAAATACCTTGCTTATAAAAAAGCTTAAAAATAAAACTTTGGGCTTGGGTAACTCTGGACCGAAAAATATTTTTTCAAAAAATGTTGGTTCTAAACCTGTATCTTATAAAAAATAACCACCATATAAAATTTCAAGAGTAAAGCTCAAATAAATCAAAAGTTATATGACGCACCGTTCAAAAAATTCAATTTTGAGATAAATGCAATTTAAGTAATAATATACTAAAATATCACTAAATTTCTTTCAAATTTTCAAAAACAAAAAGATTTTCATGATTGATGACCGTAAATAAAAAATAATAAAAATCTCTCTAATATAAACCATAACCATACTTCATTTCTTCTACATTGATTAGTATTTGTGAAACCTTTTATGAACTCTTTGAATATGCTTTTTTCGATTTCCTTTCCATTGACATTACTCTTTGGTTGTTATTTGAAACACAAAACTGTTTGCATAAAATCGTGGAATACCTATGCCCTTTAAAACTTTTAGAGTTCCAGTTGAACTATCATTAAAATTTATAACTGCAGAAGCTACACCTAGGTCAACAGTGGTTTTACAAACGTAGATATCTTTTTGAAATCGTCTCCAAATCATTCCATTTAGTGACTCATTTATTTATTACTTATTTTGAGTTTTGCCATAAAGATATTTTTTTATAAATTGTCATCACTTAAACTTAAAAAAAACAGGCTTTTTTTCTTCAAGGACAACAATTGGTAATTCCTCCCTTATGTTTGTATGTTGCTATGCCATTTATTTTGTCAGCCTGATATTTACACCAACTATCAAGAGTACGTGGGCACATTTGATGCCTTCTATATTCTAATAATATATTTTGCTTAAGAGCAATGGAAAAGCACTGTTCTAATTACTTTTTTCATCCACAGAGTTTTTCTAACTGGTATAACTTTTTCCAATTTCTCTCATATCAAAAACAAAACGAACATAAACCTCAAACAGGTCTACCACGACTGCTTTTGCATTTACATTCTTTACTTGAATGAAAGGTTGTACACTAACAACAACTTGAACTTATAACAATATAACTTATAACAACTTGTAACAATAATGGTATAGACAAGCCTTACTTTCTCAAGACGTTAAATGTTTGACTCATAGTCTTTTTGTCACATTCAGGGCATGTTACAACTAAATTAATAATTTCCATAAAAATGTCAATAGAAAAAAGTATAAAAATCGATAATATACAGTTGTGTTTGAAGAATTTACACAAGTAAACAAACTGGTGTCATTGGTGAATGAAGATGATGCAAACTTTATTGATCTGGTTTCATTACTAATGAAACCAGATCAATAAAGTTTGCATCATCTTCATTCACCAATGACACCAGTTTGTTTACTTGTGTAAATTCTTCAAACACAACTGTATATTATCGATTTTTATACTTTTTTCTATTAATGACATTAGTGATTATACTAATGACATTAGTGATTATAAAAGGTAATGTTGTACCTGATGATAAATATGACAGATTTATTTGAAGAAATAGGTAAGTTAGAAGGAGGAATCTCAATTGGTTCTTCTTGTGTTTTTTTTTTGTGTGTACACACATGTGTGTTGGTTACCTTTAAATGTCCGTTTAGAAAATGCTTTTGAGTGGCCAGACTTTCTTTCTAACATAGCTCGACTCTTTTTTTAATATTAATTATTATTACAACTATAAAGAATAAAAAAAACAATAATAACAAATAAATGTAACTAAGCCTAATTTTTTTTTCATTGTTGTTGTTCTTTAATAATGAACATTATAGCTAAATAACTTGAATAAAAAAAGAAAATAATAACAAATAAAAAACCAATTAAGTTAACTATAACAAAGCTAAAAAAAAAAAGATAAAAAACCATGTAACTAAATCAAATAAACGATGATTAAAAACATAAACAGATATTATTTCACTTGCAGCTTTTCAACTTTTAAACAATTTAAATGCCATGATGTAACACATGTATTTAATTGGTGACTTTTTGCATGAAGTTTATATTTCTGTAAAACAATTTAATGACTTTAAAGCAAACCAACCATAGGTTTTTAAACATAATTTTACAGGCTTTCAAGTAATCAAAATTGGTTGCTATGGGCGTTGCTACGAAAGTTGAGTTTGGAGTTTAAGATTGCCTTTTTTAAAATGGAAAGTTAAGTATCATCTGAATCATTTTAAATGAAACAAATTACTTAAGCGTTTTCTGCATAGCTTAGTTTACTTAAAAACATTCACTTTGAAATTTTCAATTTTTACTTTTTTTTCACCCAAGTACCACCTTAATTGGAGACTTTAAAAAGTTTTGACGATGGTATTTAAAAAGTTATGACGATGGTAGAAAAATACAAAAGCTGTCAGAGAAATCAGTTTTTAATTTCCGTCAAATATGAGATATAATCGTTAAATTTAAACTCTTTAGAGATTAGTGAAATCTAATTCTAGAGTGCAGTGAAACAATGTATAGTTCGATCTAAGAATGAGAAATTTGGTATGACCTTCAACTAGTAGAAACTTCTATTAATCTTACAGTTACTGTAATACCGTGGTGTAATATGGTCGTGCGGTACAACTTATTTTCGTAAAGGGTGAAAAAAACTTATTATTACTAAGATTAATTACTTTGTTAGTAATAAGTTATTACATACAAATAAGTGTTATATAATAAAACTATATTCTAAACTATAAGGATTTTATTCTATGTAATTATTTTAAAGAAATCTAAACATATGTACTTTGACTAAACGTCAAGTGAATCAAATTGCTTTTAAGTGCCATTATTAGGTTTTTAAAAACATTGCATTTTGAGGTACGTTTTCTTTTCAATTCAAAAAGCACGTGTCAAAATTAATTTTATTTTCTTTCAATTAAAAAAAAATCATATTTTTAAATCTTTTAAATTTTGAATCACGTGAACGAGCACGTGAATCATTAATAATGCCTCACCTTTTGTTTATCATAGTTAAAATAAATTTAAAATTTTTATTTAAACTTTATCTAACGAATGTTTAAACTTTTATAATTTTTGAACGTGGAGATTTTTTAATAAAAGAAGTCGTTGTACTAAAAATTAAGTTTAGAACATTTTAAGCACTGAGTGGAAGAACTAATTGTAGAAAACTAACTGATAACAGAAAAATAATTCAATATCTTTTTACTTTTTATTTATTTATTTTCTTTTTTAACATATTTATTACTAAAGATTTCTTATTTTTTGTATTTTAGAAGTCTGGTGTTTTATTATTATTATTATTTCCTATCTTTTTACTGCGATTGAAGTATGCTCCGAAAATAGTTAAAATAAAATCCATTTATATTTTCCAAAAGTTGGTGTTTTGCAGGTAATAAAATGTTTACTGAAAGAAGTTGGCAAGCTAAAGTGTCGGATATATGTCGGTTTATTTTGTAAAATTACTACAAAAAAACCAAAACGCTAAAATAAATAACGCCCATGGGATTTCAGTTATGGTGGCGCCTCTGATCTGTAACAATGCGTTAAACGTTTTTCTATTTGTATATCTTTTTTGAATAAGGATACTTTTAAATTGGCGTAATATTATAGTAATATAAAAGATGGAGGAGAACACGCCCCCTCCCTCCTTGTTAACATCACTTTGTAAATTCCGGATTTTTTCCGGATATTACAAAAAAAATTTCCGGATTTTTCCGGATATTTGTGGAAAAAAAATTTCCGGATTTTTAAAATATTGCCAGGATAATCTATGTATCTTTAAACATTAAAAAATAAAAAACAATGTACAAAAGTGTAATTTAAATAGACTAAGCATTTTAGTTCGTTTTTTTTTTTTAGTTTTTTAATTAAGTAAGTTTTTGTAACGCATTTAAAATTTTGAAGATATGTCAAAAGCCGTGGTAATGACTGGTTATAAATAATGGTAAAGACTGTAATGCATGTTATGAATTTTTTAAACACTATTGTAACTTAATTATTATTTTTTCAATTATTTTATCAGATTGGATATAATTGGTGTTTCTCATATGTAGTTATGAAAAAAAAAGTAAATTTCTTTAATGAAAAAGTTTTAAAACTCTTTTAAGTAAATGCTTTTATAAACTCTGTGAATAAAATAACAAACATAAATGTAAGCTTACTCATATCATGGAACATATGTTTAGTAAGTAAGAACAAAAATAAACTCATTTTTATAAACATGGTGCCCACACACGAGGCATCATAAATAATGGCAATGACATTTTTCTTTTGCTGTTGTCAAGACCTACTAGGGACAAGCAGGCTAGTCAGCTTGAATGTAATGAGCTTATATTCTTTTTTGACTCTTCTTCTGCATTCATATAATGTAAAAGTACTATTGTTAACAGTAAGAATACAGTGATGATTTTAAAATTTCCAAAGATATTCCATATGAGTCAAGCATATTTGATTGATTTGAAGAAAACAGTAAGTTTTTCATTAGTCTCCTTTGTTTGAGCTGAATTGGTTGCAAGAATAGATTTAAAATTGTTGGCACTGTAAACACATCTTTCAAACCTTTTGGTGGAGTCAATGAATAGTCTTCATTCAGATGGACTATGGTTGAAATTCAAACATATTATTGGACCATTGCAACAAAGTAAAAAAAAAAATTTTTTTTTTAATTATATACTGCTGGTGTTCTCTATATTGAAAATTTGAAATAATATTTAAAAATAATCCTTAGCTCTAGTCTTGATTCCTAGTTGCAGACTCTAAAATTTTGGTATTCTCTTTTAATAACTCTTGAATGAGATTACTTAATTCTGTTTGATTCATTTGGTGTGAGCTTTTTTTCATGTGATACAGAAGGCTTTTTTTGTGTGTGTGTGCATATTGTTCAGAACATCCTCAGAGTTTTTTATTTTAAGTACAGATTTTAATTTCAAGTAGAGAATAAATCTAGTTTAAATGATTAAATATAGAATTCTTTTCTTTCATAACCATCTGTGTGTGTATATATTACATTTGATTTTAGTGCTTTTTATCAGAGACTGACACAAATTTTTGACAGCAGTATTGTAAGGGTTCGTGCATGTGCTTAGGTGATATGGGATTTTTTTGTTAGATGAGTTTTGCACCAGCAAAACTTATCTAACAAAAAAAAAATTGTATTTAAATAATTTTTAAAGAAAAAATATTGGATTTAAATGTTTATATATATATATATTATATATATATATATATATATATATATATATATATATATATATATATTTGTGTAATATTTTAATAACATTTACCCAACATTGAGATAAATATTTTATCTAAATGCAACAATGTCGCTTGCTTTTAGTGAACTTAATCACTAATCTTCCTCTTATATTTTGTAGTCTGAACATTGCTTAATAGTAATATTGCAACATAACTATAACAATGCTACATTACAATAATTCGAATTATCAAATACCGTAACTAAAGACTAAAAAGTAGAAAAATATCGCAAAAACTATTTGCAAAAAAGTATAACTTTTTTGGTACTAAAATGTAGAAAATAAACTTTTTAATTTAAAATTAATAGTTCAGTAAACTAAAGATTGACTGGTCTGTTTCGAACTTTGTGCAGACCTATTAATGTTTTTGGTATATTTTAATTAGTAATTATTTTAGCTATATTTTATTTATTATAACTTAAAAAGAAATATCATTTTCTATGCAGTTAAATCTTAAATAATAATTTTTTAATAAAATGATGATTATTGTTGAAATAATCATATAGTTTCATTTCATCTAAAACTCAACAAAAACATTTATTTAAGTCATTATGGAAGAGTTAAAGCAATTTTTTACAACTATAATTTAAAAAAAATGTTTATATATTTATGTATTTAGGTTTTGCGAGGTGCACATTACGGACGTAAATGTGACATTTGGAGTTTAGGATGTTGCGTCATAGAAATGGCAACCTCTCAACACCCGTGGGGAACTGAACATAGCGATAATCATCTTGCGTTAATGTTTAAGGTATATGTATTTTTATATTATCGCTTAAAAATGTTCTTTATAAATAACATCTCAACAAACAGTCGATCACTACCATCGTCACGAAGGTTTCTACAAGCTATAAGTTTGTTAACTTGTTTACGGTATTAGGATAGCAATATTCTATTTATTTTACAGACGCGTCTATTATTACTATTCTATTGTTATATTAATTATATAATGATTTATTATAAACTTTATTGTGTTATGGTTTAATTTGTGTTTAGATTGCTAGCGCAAACTGTTCTCCTTCCATACCTCAATCGCTTGGACCTGGATTACGTGATTTGGTACTTAGATGTTTAGAAATAAAGGAGTCCGATCGTCCGACCTCCCATGAACTACTGCAACATGCAATATTTCGAATTTAAAATCGATTTTTAACAACTTGTAAATATTGACACAACAAATTTATTAAGAAACATACTCCACAAGTTTTATTGTGGAAAATTGTTGTATATACACGCATATTTTTATGGATTATACTGAAATGTTTTTATCGTGTAAAAAGTTCTGTTCAGTATGAAAAAGAGTTATATATAGGA